GGGGCCTGTCCTTGGGGATCATGGCCGTGGCTCACAGGGACACCGCTCGGCCAGGATGTGGGGCCGCCGCAGGGTCCTGTGGTCCCCTGGAGATGCTCGAACCCCTGCAGTCCCACACTCCTGGGCCCGCTAACTGTTCTACGTAGAGCAGCCTTGCAGTCCCTGAGCCCCGGGCACAAGGACCAACAAGGGGCCAGCTTCCCTGCCGTCTTCACCCTAAGGAAGCCTGCCCTCGGGCCCAGGGCTGCGTGGGCACTGTCCTCCCTCTCCTGTCGCCCAGGCACTGTGGCTGGTGGAGCTCCTGCAGGTGCCTGCCTAGCGGATGGGCACAGTCTGGGCAGCAGCCTGGCCCCAGCCCCACCCTGCTGTCCGCTTGCCTCGGGCCTCACCCTCAGTCCTCATCCTCCGCACGCTGGGCATGATGGTGCCTGCCCTCCAGAGCTCAGGCGTCTGGAGCGGCCCATCCTCCACCGGTGCTGGGTCCCAGAGCCATCCCCCAGTCCCAGCCCTCATTCAGCCCCACTCCCCAGGCTGTGGCCTCCCTGGGCTCACGGGGACCTTGCCAACATCCATGGCAAGCATTGGAGCTGGCTGAGGCCAGCCTGACTTCTGAGCAGCACAGCGTGCCCCTGCTGGATGCATAAGTCCTGCTGGGGGTGGCCGTGGCCTGTGGAAGAGGCTGCTGTAGGTGGCGGGCCTTGTCCTCTGGGGACCTGTCCACAGCTGGGACGTGGAGCTGGATGAGACACACAGACACACACACACACAGACACACACACACACACTCGAGTTCCTGGCTACCAGCATCCATCACTCCTCATGTTCGCTGACCCTGACTTAGCAGCTGCTCCCCCCTTGGCCCACTGTCTCTGTCAGGGTTCCAGCGGGGTCCCCGTCAGTGCCCTGGCGTGGGGTGTGGCCACCCAGACCAGGGCAGTGCGGGTCCTTCAAGGGTCTCTAGACCATCACCATCATTGAAACGCTGAGGCTCCCTCTCTGTGGGTGGTTTGCCGTCCAGTCCTGGGGGCGCTGAGCACCTCGCTTCACCTAGGTCTGGCCCACCCTCCTGGGGGAGCAGGCACCAGGGAGGGTGCGGTGCAGGGGTGCCCTGGGGCGGGGCGGGGGCTGGTCATGGTGTGGGAGTGGTCAGCTCCCCCATCCCCCCGGCTCAGAGCAGACAGGACCTGCAGGATGTGGGGGCCGCTCCCCACAGGGTGACCAGACACCCCCTCCCAGGCTTAGTAGGGAAGAAGGGCCCTGGCGGGCGTCTGTGGCTGGACCCCTCCCCTGCTCCGGGCACCTGGTGGCGGGCAGGGCTCGGCCGTGGGGCCTGTCAGGGCTGGGTCCCCTCCCCTGCTGGCTCCAGGAGGGTGGCCCAGGCTGGATCCCCTGTGCAGAGCCCAGGGGAGGCCCAGCTTGCCCCTGACTGTGTCCTGGCAGCTGGGGTGTGCTCTGGGGGGTCTGCTCCTTGGGGCCAGGTCTCAGGTCTTTGCCCCCAGCAGATGGGCTCCTGGTGCCATCTGCATGTCCCCCTTTCCAGAAGCCCTCCAGAGGTGGCGCCCTTTCTTGCTCCCTCCTGCCCCTGCCTGGCCGAGGCTCTGGCCTACCCTGGCCCGTGGCCTCCGTCCTCAGGGCTGACCTCAGGGTCGTTCCCTCTGCAGTTTCCAGCTTCTCCCCTTGCCACCCCACGGGCCTCATGACCGCCCAGGTGTGATGTGGCATCCGGGGAGGGGTCAGGACTCCTGGTTATGTTAAGCATTCCTCTGTGGCCATTCTCCCTCTGGGGGCCCCCACCAGGCAGGCTTTGGAACGGGATGGCAGGGAGGACTGATAGCAGTGAGGACTGTCTCCTCTTGGCAGACTGGTCAGGCAGCAGGCAGGAGAATCTGGGTGAGTTCAGGTAGGGGAGTGGTGCCTGGTGGGCTGGCAGAGGTGAGAAGGGGCTTTCTGGGAGGACCTCGCTACCTGGCTCTCCCCAGTGGTAGGGGACTTCTCTGGGTGGGACTCGATTTTTTTCACTGAGTTCCTGCCTGCCCTGGGGAGGAGCTGGAGCTAGTCTCCAGGGCATGGTTATGCTGAGCCTAAGGCCAAAGGCCAGCCCCATGGGCAGTAACAGTGACACCCTCCTTTCCTTTAGTCCCTTGGGGGGGTTCATCCTCATGGGCTTGTTACCCACAGGCTTGTACCCACTCTTGAATAGCTGCTTCTTCAGTGCTGGGACTAGCCCAGTAGAGTGGTCAAGGTGGGGGTGGTCCAAGATTGCAGAACGCTGTCTGCTGCATCCCCTAGACCTGGGGGCGGGGGGAGGGCATGGCTGACATCAAGGGTAGCATCAGGAGCTCCCCCCGCTTGCCATACCTCCCGGGCACTTCTCTCTGTGTTCCACCAGGGATGCTGCTCAGGCTGTCTGGCAGGGTCCCAAACTACTAGCTCAGTTGCTTCATCCAGGGTTTTCCAGCTCCTCCATGTCTGCCAACCACCACCACCATCCCCCGACTTTGCTCTGGTGGTACCTGAGATGGCAGGAGATGCCCTGCACGCTGGGAAGCTGATGCCCCCTGCTGTGCTCCCAGTACCACTGCAGCCAATGGTCCAGGCAGGAGCCTGGGGGTTGGTCTCAGAGCCCTGGAAAGCCCTAGGTAGGGACTTAGAAGCCTGAGGTCTCTTGGGGGCTCAGGGAGCCCTCAAAAGCTTTGCCTGGGGGTTCCCAGAGTATTCGGAGGCATTCAGGCGCCCTTATGGGGCTCCAGGGCCTTGGAAGCAAGGCTAAGCTTGGTGGGAGTCTGGAGGGGGGTCCAGAATCCTCAAGAGAGCTCTCTGGGAGGTGGGTATCTCGGAGCCCTGGGGCAGCGCTTTTGAAGCAAGGCCCTCAGAAACCCTCCGTCTGGTGCATGGTGATCAATGGATATGGTCACCTATGGGAAATAAAAGGGGGAGACCATGTCACCTGGGAGGCGACTCCGTCTTCCTTCAGACACAACAGTGGTTGCCAAGCACATCTAGCCTCCCCCTCGGTCCTGCAGATGGAGGATCTGAAGCCCAGAGGGGACCATTCCGTCCAGAGGCCATGCCATCTCTCTCCCCTTCCTCCCTGCAATCCCTCCTCTCCACCAGGACCCCGTGGGGCTCTCGCTGCACAGCCACCCCCAGGAGGAGCCCTTGAGATCAGGTGCCGAAATAAGATGTTGCGCCATGCCTCTGCAGAGTTCTGATGCCCTGATGATGGGACTCCTTGTTCTCCCCCATCCAGTTCACCGATTTGACCACCTGCCCCTATGGTCACAGATGAGCAGGCCACACCTCCTGCCCATGCCCACCGCCGACCATGGAGCATCCGTGTCTCAGCTCTTGGTCTAAGATGGCACAGGACAGATGCCGGGGGCCCAGGGGTGTCCCGGCCACAGCGGACTGGGTGCCATGGGAATCGGGGGAGTGCCTAGCAGCAAACGAAGGAGGCTGGGGCTCTGGGAAGGGTGAGAATATGAGAAGCCACTTCTTTCTGGTGTATTTGAAATGCACAAAAAAAGCCTGTTGGTTTTAAGAAAACACCCACCCCAGCCCACCTCACCCCACCCAAGTGCAGAGACTAGGATGCAGCAAGAAGAAGTGTCCGGGAGCTTTGGTAAAAAGGTTCCAGTCCTGGCCCTGAGCAGAGCTTACCCAGCAGCCATAGACAGCGGAGAGCCCCAAAGGCTCAGGAGACCACGGTGCAGGTGCAGGTGAGAGGGCAGGCCCTGCCAAGTCCTGCCACCTGTAGGAAGGAGCCCGTCAGAGCTGAGGTGCCAGGGTCCCGCCCAATGGTGGCCCAGGGGGTGCCTCTGCTTCCCTTTTGGGTGCCTGCCTCTCCGGGCTTTACTGCCCTCTACAGGCAGTGCGGAGCCCAGACGCACAGTGTGGCATTTTACCCCAGGTTTCCTTAGCACTTAATGTGAAGTGATAGTCGCTCAGTCGTGTCTGACTCTTAGCGACCCCTTGGACTGTAGCCCGCCAGGCGCCTCTGTCCATGGGATTCTCCAGGCAAGAATACTGGAGTGGGTTGCCATCTCTTTCTCCAACTCGATGTTAAAATCACATGTAAACTGTGAAAACTGTGAAGTGCCCAGAGCAGAAAACCTTGTGGTAATACCCAGGTGAGGAGCTGATTTACTGAAAGGGGATGAAACATTCCAGAGGGCTGAGAGCCTTTCCCTGTCATTAGACAACCAGCTTTCCAGCAGAAACAGCCCATCAAGCAAATGCCTCATTTCCTTCCCATCACTCTGCTCTTGGACACCACGGTTAGTGTCTGCTGGTCCCAGTTGAAACACCCAGAACTGACACGGTGCAAGCAGCCTCACCTGCGTTTCCCAGTGGGCTCTCTGTGTGACATTATTTTTTATAAGTACTTACAAGAGCTTCTGGTAACATGTCAGGGAGCGGGCACCAAAAGCAGAACACAAATGAGTCTATGGGTAGCCTAGGATCCCTATCTCAGGCTCAAAGGACGAAAGGATGAACTGACAAAGTCGGATGGCAATACTGGAGACCCAAGGCCTGGAAACCTTTAGTAGGGGGGGCAGCCCAACCACTCCCCACGTTAAAGAGAAGAACCCACATGTTAAAAATAAATGGTCTTTTATTGTATCCACGAAAACAAACTCAGGGTGGCCTTTGGTTAATCCCCCCATGAGGTGACGACAAATAGGAGGCATGCGATGACCAAAACCGTGTTCTCCTCTCCAGGAGAAGGGTCTTGCCTTCCTAGGCCCAAAGGGTGACAGGAAAGCAGGGCCAGGAGGATCCAGAGGCAAGCCCACCCAGGCCCACCATGCTGCAGAGGGCCCAGGCCTGCTGCCTCCCTGGCAGGACAGGGAAGGGGTCAGCAAACATTGCCCCTGTCCTGGTAACCCCAAGCTAGAACACACAGAAAAGCCCCAACCCCCCTCCCGCATCAAACACTGATAAGGCAGTCAGCCAGGGCTTCCCAGAGGAGCTGGCCTCCAAGGTAAGAGGCCAGACCCTTAGGGCTCTGCCCAGAAGGGGTTGCCATCCTCGGCCTGCATGGAGTAGTAAACAAAGAGCAGGAAGGCAGCAAAGACCAGGAACAGCAGCACCTGGCCCCAGAGCGGGACCTGGCGATCCTGGCCCAGGCCGGCAGCCCCAGGGGCCTGCTTTTCAGGCCGGATGGCTCGGCGGGTGAGCCATGAAGGGGCCGAAGATGAAGACGAGGACACACTCGAGGTGGAGGAGGATGTGAGATAATAGGACAGGCCCAGGGAGCTTCTGGAGATGTTGGAAATAGGGCGGTAGTGTGCGATGTTCTGGTGGGCACTGTTCTGGCCATACAGGAGGTGTTCCCTGAGGCAAAGAGGGCAGCAGGTAGACCAGGAGGGCCTGAGCCCTGAATCAGCCCCAGCTCCTGGCTTGCCTTAATACTCACCGATCCTTGCCTTCCTCTTCCAAAGAGAAAAGATTGTCATCACGGACCGACAGAAGTGAATCAGAGTGAGGATACCTATTGGCGGGGTCGATGTAGGTATGACAGGTCATACCCTCAGTCCACACTACCCTTCCCAGCCTGTTCTGAACACTGCTTAAAGGCCTGGGCCCTGCCACCCTCCAGACCCCCTTCTTGGTCCCCAGCCTTATGTCTGCAGGGCCGTGCCACTTGTCCCGGCTGCCTGCATCCTACTTTGTGCCCCAGGATTCTCAAAAAGAGCTCAAACCTAGATCCCAGACCAGAGCCAGGGCACGTCCTGGGCACACTAGTCAAAACAGTTCTGACAGCCCCTTCCCCTCCCCAAAGAAAGGCCCTCACCAGGCAGGTGTCTGCAGGACCCGCCTCTCCCTGGAGGTTTCTGAGGCACCATTTGCGCCCAGTGGTCCCCTTGACTCATCCAAACCCCATGAGGACCCCCTCAGGTTGTACCCAAGTACAGGGTGCCCGACAAGTCAGCTCACCTGGCGGTGAAAAGGGTCAGCATCTGAGAGTGAAGCTGAGGGCTGGCGGAAGCCCTTGGATGTGCCCATAGACTCAGGTTCCCCATAAGTCCCGGTGGTCAAGTAACTCTCCTCATAGTAGTCATCATTATAGCCTTGGGAAGGGGGGGCAGCGGTAGCAGAAGAGGCAACGGTGTCCCTACCTGGCCCGATGGCCCTAATCTGAATCCCACTGGGGGGGCCTGTGACACGGTTTCTCCCCTCCAGGGCTACTGCAGGACGCTTGGGGTTGAGGTCTCAGGTTCTGGCTGACAATGGAAGGAAGGTGTCAGGGTGCCCATCCCACCCCTGCCTTACCCTTGCTCTGGTAAAGTAAGGCGTCCTCTTTCTTGGGCAGATCATACATATCCGAGTCCATGGACGCCGAATCTACGTCTGAATGGGGGAGGGGCTAGGACCATGGCCCACAGGGGTCCCCTCCCGTTTCCCCCGCGCCCCTTCCGGCCAGTGCCCCGGCCACACCCCCGCGACCCCTTTCTCAGAGTCACCCAAACCGTGTCCCCAAGGGCGGCCAGGCAGGGCCCTGGGACGGAAGCCTCACCCGAGAACCGATAGGAGAAAGAGGATGCAGACGAGCTCGGGGGCGAGAGCCTCCGCCTCTGGGTCTCATACTCGAAGATTTTCTTTTCGTAGAGCTTGCGAGTGGAACCTGATCAGACGCGGGGCACAGGGCGGTCAGGGAGCGGGCCGCGGGGCTAAGCGCGGGGAGGGGGCCCGCCCTCCGTCCACCGCGTACCAACGACGGGCCCGTGTGGGATGTTGTACTGCGCAGCACGGCGGCCAGCTCCGAGTCCGACAGGACTGCGTGGTCGTCCATGGCGGGCAGCGGACGGCGGAGGCCTGGGCCTAGCGACACCGGCCGAGAGACGATGTCCTGGGAGCGCGGCGGGGGCAACAGGAGCGCCTCGGGAGCGGCTACGCGCGCGTCACGCCCGTGTCACAGCCGCGGTCTTGGCAGGCAGTGCGCGCTGCGCGGAGAGGGGCCGGGCCTCGCGAAGAGGCGCCAGCACAGATTGGTGGGGCCTTGGGAATGGGCGGGGCGGGGCGGGGCTCGCGAGCCTAGACGTCACCCCTCCCGGGTGGGAGGGGCCGCAGCTCAAACGGCACAGATGGGCCAGGCCGTGGGGGTGGGCGGAGCTGGCGAGCCCAGAGACGTCACACGCTGGCGCATTTAGGCCCGGACGCCAGCGAGGGGCGGGGCCTGGGTGCAACGGGAACTAGCTTAGACCCGCCCCGACTTGGGAGCGGGGCGGGGCCCGCGAGCCGCGACGTCACCCGCTCGGCTATTCGGGTCAGAAGGGTGGAGGGGCGTGGCCTGTGGCCGTGCAACCAGCAGAAACTGGCCAGGATGTGGGAGCTGGGCGGGGCTAGCCCTCCGTGAGTCACGTGGACTCCACTAGGTCCCAACTGACCCGTCTGCACCGAGCTCCGGCGCTCGGGGGTTCCTGGCCTCGCCCCGGCCGGCCGGCTCGCCGGCAGCCGAGAGAAAGGGTCCGATCTGAAGGGGCGAGCCCTTGGAGAGCGTGGGTCTGGACTAGGCGCCGCTGCCCGCGCTGGGCGCGCGCGTGCCACGCCAGGGAAGCCCGTAGCCACCCGACCCTAAGCCACCCCCCAGACCCCCAGACCCCCTGCCCCAGCACGCCTTCCCGCTCTGTGGGACCCTGGCCTGAGCCCTCAGGTCCCCACCGCCTCCTTCCCTCCCTGCTGCACCCCGGAGGAAATGGGGCACTGGGCCAGGAGGCCACCGGTGCTCCAGAAGCCAGCAGCCTTGGAAGGGGCCCGGGCATGCCAATGGGCACTGGCACGGGGCGCCCAGTGATGCGATGCATGCAGAGATGGCGGGTGCCTGCCTCACCCACCGGCAGCCCACTCGAGGCGCGAGGGGCTTCCCCTCCGTGACTGGGCTGGCCCCTGAGCCCAGCGTGACCCAGGAGACTGCCAGAGGGACCTGCCCGAGGCTTCCAATAATGTGCTCTGAGCACCTGGGTCTCAGTGGGCTTCAGGGTCATGGGAGTGCAGAGGGGGCCTCCTGGACAAGGGGCCAGGGGACTGAAGCAGGCAAACCATGGAAGGCAGCCGGGACCTGTCACAGGGAGTTGGTGAGAGCCTTGGTCAGGAAAGAGCTCTCCCACGAAAATTAGGAAGGAGATGACAGTCACGTTCTAACAAAGCCAGCCAATAGAATGAGGGGAAACTGAAGCGCCCCTCCCAGAACTGGGATGAAGGCTGGCAGACTGGCCCAGCTGGTGAGGGTCACAGCCTTGGTCTCAGCGAAGGTTCGTTCATGTGGTGGAGAGAAGATAGGGCCCTGGTTTAACCATGTACGAAGCCCCTCTGCTAGGTTGCTGTTGGCCAGGTTTTAGAGATGAGGATTTCTCCACCTCCCAAAATATGAGGGCCCCACGTATGCATGGTCGGATGAGGGGAAGCGCCCTGGGCAGGGCAAGGGTCTTGCTGCTTATCTCCAAGCAGGGAGGGAGATGACATTTGCGATTGGGCTCCTCAGAGCCGATCCCGCGGAATTTGGAGTTTGGGCCAGATCAGATTCCCCAGCACCTCTCTAAGCCTTCTTTTGCAGTGCTGGCCCCTGTCCCGGAGGCCGGCCTCCCCTTGCCAACCGCCCTCCCCCCCCATACAGAACCCAAGCCGTTTCCTTATGAGGTCAAGGAATTCTAAGTTTGCCTTCTCCTCTGGGAGCAACCCCTCCCCAGCACCTGCCTTGGCCCTCTGCCTTGTATTTCCCTCTCCCCCAGTTGCCCCACTATGAGGTCCCACCACAGATGGCATCACACAGCTGACCTGTGATGATCTCCTGCACACGAGACCACCTGGAGCCCCAAGCCAGTCCCACTGCAGGCAGACCTGTCTCAAACCACCAGAAACCAGGCAAGCCCTTGACCATCAGAGCTGAGAGGCCCTTGGCACCGATGCCATCACATTGAGGAGGAATTAGGGGCCCAGAGAAGGAAGAGACTTGTGCAGGGGCACCCAGTGTAGCAATTCATTCATGGATGTTCCCCTAGCCAGTACCTAGCCCTCGGGGTCATAACTTGGACAGTGTGGCCCATTGAGGGTTCAGAGTCAGCAGAGGAGCTGTTAGTGGAAATCTGGGGCCTTGAGGGAAGTCTTCCTGGGAAGAGTGGGCAGAGTTAAAAGGAGGCATTTCTCTGGAACTGTAGCTGGGGCAAAAAGGCTTGGAAGCCACTGATTCCAAGTCAGTAACAAGAAGACAGTTTCTCCTTTAAGGACTGGGATTCTAAGCAATAGACTATGTAACTTGTGATCCTAGCAACACCAAAAATTGTAAGGAAAAGTAATATCAACATGAATACATTTCTGAACAGGTCCAAGGAGACGATTATTCACTGAGCGATTAATATTTTAAGATCAGAACCTGAATCCTTTGGTACAATACAAAGCTTACCTTTTCTCTTCAAGGATGTTAAAGATCCTCTGAGTTTGGCCTGGCAGTCGAATGCTTTAAAACATGGCTCAGATGGTAACAAAGGTTGTAAGATGGTGACTAGCGTGAAAATGACCATGTGGAAGGTTGTCACAATCAATATATAGCAGGGAATGGTTAGCCGACCAAAGCCTCTCAGATGACACCTTGTGTTCCGGTCCTAGGACACATCAGTCTGCCTTGGGACAGTCAGCATGGCAGCAGGAATGGAGCCACTTCTAGTGCTTTTGTGGAACCTTCAACACAAAGTGGTGGTTTAGTCGCTAAGTCATGTCCTACTCTTGCGACCTCATGGACTGCAGCACGCCAGGCTTCCCTGTCCATCACCAGCTCCTAGAGCTGGCTCAAACTCATGTCCATTCAGTTGGTGATGCTATCCAATGCCCAATATGCTACTGGAGATCAGTGGAGAAATAACTCCAGAAAGAATGAAGGGATGAAGCCAAAGCAAAAACAATACCCAGTTGTGGATGGGACTAGTGATAGAAGCAAGGTCCGATGCTGAAAAGAGCAATATTGCATAGGAACCTGGAATGTTAGGTCCATGAGTCAAGGCAAATTGGAAGTGGTCAAACAGGAGATGGCAAGAGTGAATGTTGACATTCTAGGAATCAGGGAACTAAAATGGAGTGGAATGGGTGAATTTAATTCAGATGACCATTATATCTACTACTGTGAGCAGGAATCCCTTAGAAGAAATAGAGTAGCCATCATGGTCAACAAAAGAGTCCGAAATGCAGTAATTGGATGCAATCTCAAAAATGACAGAATAATCTCTGTTCATTTCCAAGGCAAACCATCCAATATCACGGTAATCCAAGCCTATGCCGCAACCAGTAACACTGAAGAAGCTGAAGTTGAACGGTTCTATGAAGACCTACAAGACCTTTTAGAACTAACACCCAAAAAAGATGTCCTTTTCATTATAGGGGACTGGAATGCAAAACTAGGAAGTCAAGAAACACCTGGAATAACAGGCAAATTTGGCCTTGGAGTATGGAATGAAGCAGGGCAAAGGCTAATAGAGTTTTGCCAAGAGAACACACTGGTCATAGAAAACACCCTCTTCCAACAACACAAGAGAAGACTCTACACATGGACATCAGAAGATGGTCAACACTGAAGTCAGACTGATTATATTCTTTGCAGCCAAAGATGGAGAAGCTCTATACAGTCAGCATAAACAAGACCGGGAGCTGACTGTGGCTCAGATCATGAACTCCTTAATGCCAAATTCAGACGTAACCTGAAGAAAGTAGGGATAACCACTAGACCATTCAGGTATGACCTAAATCAAATCCCTTATGACTATACAGAGGAAGTGAGAAATAGATTTAAGGGATTAGATCTGATAGACAGAGAGCCTGATGAACTATGGACGAGGTTTGGTGACATTGTACAGGAGACAGGAATCAAGACCATCCCCATGGAAAAGAAATGCAAAGAGGCAAAATGGTTGTCTGAGGAGACCTTACAAATAGCTGTGAAACGAAGAGAAGCAAAAAGCAAAGGAGAAAAGGAAAGATATTCCCATTTGAATGCAGAGTTCCAAAGAATAGTCAGGAGAAATAAGAAAGCCTTCCTCAGCGATCAGTGCAAAGAAATAGAGGAAAACAACAGAATGGGAAAGACTGGAGATCTCATCAAGAAAATTAGAGATGCCAAGGGAAGATTTCATGCAAAAATGGGCTCAATAAAGGACAGAAATCGTATGGACCTAACAGAAGCAGAATATATTAAGAAGAGGTGGCAAAAATACACAGAAGAACTATACAAAAAAGATCTTCACGACCCAGATAATCTCAATGGTGTGATCACTCACCTAGAGCCAGACATTCTGGAATGTGAAGTCAAGTGGGCCTTAGAAAGCTTCACTAAGAACAAAGCTAGTGGATGTGATGGAATTCCAGTTGAGCTATTTAAAATCCTGAAAGATGATGCTGTGAAAGTGCTGCACTCAATATGCCAGCAAATTTGGAGAACTCAGCAGTGGCCACAGTACTGGAAAGGGTCAATTTTCATTCCAATCCCTAAGAAAGGCAATCCCAAAGAATGCCCAAACTACCGCACAATTGCACTCATCTCACACGCTAGTAAGGTAATGTTCAAAATTCTCCAAGCCAGGCTTCAGCAATACGTGAGCTGAGAACTTTCAGATGTTCAAGCTGGTTTTAGAAAAGGCAGAGGAACCAGAGATCAAATTGTCAATATCCGCTGGATCATCAAAAAAGCAAGAGAGTTCCAGAAAAACATCTATTTCTGCTTTATTGACTATGCCAAAGCCTACTGTGTGGATCACAATAAACTGTGGAAAATTCTTCAAGAGATGAGAATACCAGAGCACCTGACCTGCC